CTGACTAGGATCAGAAACAAAACATAATTGCAAACTGTGACAGTTTGCAGTTTGCATTTTAAATATATGCCAAGATATTTTTGTCCGTTATTGTCCAATAATTGCAAAAATAATATTGTAATGTTAATCTATAATTCATTAGTGGTAAAAAAAAAAGAACTAAAAAAAGCTAATATTTCAAAAAATATATAAAATATTTTAATACATATTTACCAATAAATAAAAGTAAAAAAAAAAAAAAACAGCTATTAATTATGTGATATTATTTGTTCTCAAATTTAAAAAAAAAAAATCAAAATTTAGTCAATTAGCATTTCTTAATAAATAATATTTAAAATTAAATTGTATTTAACTTGTATCTGTTTATTTCACTTTTTCAAGTAAGTAAGTAATAAAAAGATAAAAATTGTTCTTACGTTTTTCCAATATAGTTCAAAAGTGTTCAAGTTCTTACTTTTTTTAAAAAAGTTTTGAGTTTTTATTTTTAATAACATAAGAAATTAATGAAGTTAATTTGATTAGAAGTTATCGAAATTAATTGCGTTAAAAATTAATGGAAATAATTTAGAATGTCAAGTCATATATAATATAAAAAATAATATATCTGTTAAAAATTAGGGGCCCCCCTGGTACCCTAATTTTTATATATATATTTAAAAACATGGGGGCCGTAAGCCAAAAATTTTAAAAAGAAACTTCTTTAAGAGTCTCTATTAATATAGTTTTTTTAGTTTTTTCTGTTCTTTTGTGTTTTTTTTTTTTGTTGTTGTTTTTTTTAATTTAAAATTTCTATTCAATGCTTTGATTTAGAGGTTTTAGGTTGACCTAAAAAGTGCTCATGATGTTTCAAAAGATAACAATACTTTGAGTGTGCATCTGATGTATTCAATTGAAAACAAAATAAAAAGTGTTTCTTTTTGGGATTTAAATGCTTTTTTAAATAATCACTTTGCACAAGATATTTTAACTCAGTGTCAGATCCAGCCTATTTATTTACAACAGTGCAATATCTTTTACTATATATTAAATTATTCACATCCTCATATTAGAGTAGGTTACAGCCGTTTTATGAAGCTTTTCTAAATGACATTTGTTCAGCTTCAAAACTGCAAATTTTTTCATTGTCTTTTTAATATTTTTGTGAACAGTTTCATAGCTTTGTTTACTGAAAATTCCCAAAGGTTTGTTTTTTCTTTCAAGAAACATGATGAGGTGTAGCTGTATTATGTAAAATTTCTAACCTAGGCAAATCTTGTGTGTTGTGTACTCTATCAGATAATGATGCAAGTTGCACATTTTTAAGACAAATTCCTGAATACCTCTGCTGAATCCAAAAGAAAGCTTGGTTCCAAAACAACCTTCTCTTACTAAAATGAACAATTTTAAAGAAATTATGTTTATAAAAACTAATAAATATAATATAAAATATAGGTGAAAAATAATTAACTAATTGCATACCTTTTTTAATTTCCTCAAAGTTTCAGTACAAGGTATTATCAGGATACCTTGTATTAAAATACTTTTTGACAGTTAGGTCCATCAAATCTTCCTTCATTGTAACCATGCCTTGTTACAGTTTTACTAATTAAGAACTTTTTAGTTGAGTCTTCAGCCATCAGATCATCTGTTATTTGTGCAACAATACGTTAAAACAAATGTAATTCAGGAGGCTATATCAATTACAAGGACTCTTCAAATTAGCATGGTTGAACAACATTTTTATAGTTTTTTATATCCTTATAAAGTTCGCCATCTTCAATAAATTTCTGATACCAATTAGTCAAACTTTAAAAAATTCTCAACTTTTGTTTTTTGTCATCTTTTTCTCCTTCACAGTAACAAGCATAATTTTCCTTTTGTGCCTTTAAATGTTAGTATTAAAAAAGACTATAAATATTTAGTTAAATATCGATAAAATAATAAAAATCAATCACTTTTTGTAAATTATCATGCAATTACACAAAGTAAAATAATGTTTAACTTTGAATGTTTAAATTAAACAATCAATTCAGATCAGCTGCTACTGTGTGTTTTAGCTCATTCAGCTTTATGTAACTTAATAAGCCTCTCTAAATTATAATTACTTTCTTGTACTCCACGTACAAGACCCAAAATAAGAACTGCATTAACCCCTATGTTTTTAATGTTTCTTTTCTTTGATTGTAGCTCTTCTGGGTTGAAAATGTTCATTATGACTTTTAGTGTATCTTGACCCCCGTCAATACCAACTCTTATAAAGCAATTGTTGGGTTAAAGATGTCTGTGTACACAAATTTCTTTTATTAGTTCCCACCATTCAGGAACAAATACAACATCTTCATAAAATTGATTTAACTGGAAAGACTTTTCTTTAATACTTTTTAAGGAATTAGGTTTGATACCTTGCAAAAAATACAAGAATAGTTTATAAATATATAAGTAATATAAATGTATGCAAAATTAAGTTCATGTACATTACTGTTACCTCCATGACCCAAATTTTTTTGTATCTCAGTCATTATACAATCCATTGCTAACATGGGAAGATCCATTTTCTTTTTTATAGTAAACAATGTATCTTAAGATACTTCTAAAATAGGCATATGCAAATCTTCAGAGTAGAGAGTAACACAAGAGCTTTACTACCTACAAAAGATATATTTCCTAAGACAAATGTTCTATTCACTAATGTTTGACTTATATAAATGTATAAATTATATAAATTATATAAATGTATTTTATAAAATTAATAATAAATATAGATAGATAGAAAAATATAAATACACATTTACCTGTTGCTACAGTTAATTCTTTATTGTCAGATGATTTATACATATCTTTTCAAAGTCAATAACTTGTTAGAAGGTTTTTGAGTCATGAGAAAGAATGAGCTTATGTAGATTTTGCGCTATTGCAGATTTTGCGCAAGGATGTCTGATACCTTTACCTTCCCTTTGGCAGCAATATGTGCAAAAAGATGCATTATTCACATCTGAGGACTTAGGCTCCTTATTAAAATCCTCAAGTAATTCAGAGAGATTGATTTTTTGATGACTTCTCTTTTGCAATACAGCAAATGGGACATACGCATAGACAAGTATCCTTTAATCTACCTAGTTTCTGTAGTAATTTTCTTCCAATCGTCCACAGATCTTCTTTGTTTTGATAAATATAGCCTTTATTCTAAATATTTTTAATATAGTATTTTATATTTATATATATTTACATTTTTTATGTATCATCAATGCATCAGCATAAATGACAAATTTTTGTTTAACCTTTTTTAAATGAAGACATTTTTTACATGTTGAACAAACTCCAGATAGTAGAGAATTGATTTTCAAACTGAACCCAGAATGAACATATAGAATAATGAATTTTTGTAGAGCTGGGTTATTCTCTAATTTAAGACATTTTACGTCTTTATTTAGATAGCAATAACAAAATATATTCCTGTTTTTTTATGAAACTTTTATCTTGTTAAGCTCATTTTGATCCAATGCTGGGAGTTCTTTGATGAATCTTTAGCAAATTTTTTAATTTTTAATACCTAACTGTAAAGTAAATTTTCAAACAGCATTTATACAGAATAATTTTAAAAGTACAACAAAGGCATTTTTATACTTAAAACAGGGTCGAATTCTGCATTTTTTGGTGTTTGAGAAAGCAAACTTCTAGAAATAAGGTAAACTCCAAACATTTAAAAATTTATGTCAAAAAAAAGATGTTTTGCAAAATTTTAAGATGATTGGAGCATGGGAACAAAAATAACCGCAACATTTTTCCCCCTGTCCCAAACGTGAGAGCAATGAGTTAAGTTATTTTTTTTACTATTCTTGACTAAATTCATTTTCAATAAGAAATTTAAAATTTTGCAAAATGATTTCTTAGCGTTTAAAAAAGATGACCATTTAAAGTTTTAACTCCCCTCAATTTGAGGGGGTTACAAATTTAATATCGCCATAATTCTTGAACGCTAAAAGATTTTTACATAAAATTTGAAAATTTTAAATTACTATGATTTTAGTTAAGATTATAAAAAAAAGAATTTATGAACTTGTTGCTCTCACCTTAAGAGCAGGAAGAAAAATTTATAGGGCTTTTTTTTTCCCAGGCTCCTATCATTCCAATATTTTTACAAAACCTTATTATGACACAAGTATAGACATAAAAATTTTGGAGTATATTCTATGTTTTGAAGTATCTAAAAGACCAAAAAGGGCCGGATCTGCCAATAAGTTAAAATTTCTTCTGCAAAGTGATTATTTAAAAAAGCGTATTAGTCCCAAAAAGGAACACTTTTTATTTTGTTTTCAATTGAATGCATCTCATGCACACTCAAAGTATTGTTATGTTTTGAAATCTTAAAATCTTTAACTGCTACCCAAACTTCATTTTTGCTTTTAAAATTTGAATTTTTACAACTTTTTATTTTGCTACCAAATTTTAAAGATTGTTCCAAATATTGACTTTCAAAGTTCTTCCAGAGAGATTCTTATCTGATATCAATCATTCATATATTTTATTTATATTATATATTTTATTTATATTATATATAGTATCTTATATTTTCCAAAAAAGTTATTTTGTAGATGTTAACACTTAATAATCAAGTAAACACCTCAAAAGTTGATCTTTTAAAATATGACTAGTAATAAACCAATGAGCTCAGAATGTTTTGTTGGATATTTTAAGGGCATCCTACAGTCTTGTGACATCTATAAGACGTCATATAGTTGCCTTACAGATGTCTGTGCTTGCTGTGAATAATACTAATGATAATGATCATGGTAATGATGGTGAATGTAAAGTCTAAAAATAACAAAATATTTTAATTATATCATGCCTAAGGGCTACTATTTGATTATTTTACACAACATTCACCGCACTTCTTAAAAGACAAAAGTGTTTAAACTTTTGTAAAAATTTTCTGCCATTTTATTTTGTTTTAAATGTTTTATTACTTTTTATTTCATTAATCGTATGTTATAAAATATTTTAAAGTAATATTTAAATTTTAGTTTGATTTTGATGGTGATGGAATGGTTGTGTCATGTTTTCTTTCCATCTCTGCAAAATCAATTGTTTTTGTTGATCATGATAATAAGGTGACCTTTTTTTGGTTATCATATTTTTTTTATTATAATGTACTAATTATTTTTAATATATTAATTAGTTTTTGTTATTTTTAACTTTAATAATTATAATATTTTTTATTTAATTTCTAGGTTATTCACTAACAAAAATTAATTAATCATTTGCCAATATTGCATTTTTTTTTTAGTCAATTTTGTTAACAATACCTTGTAAATCTGTACTTGGTTGGAAACCAACATCACATACGTAAGTAATATTACTTTGATGTTTTTCTTTCTACTCTGGATATAGATCAGCAAGGTACTGTGTATTTAAGTTAGTAAGATTGTATGTTGTACATTTGTTGAGATAAGCACTTTAAACTAGACTTATATTAAATTTTTTTTTCATACATATGGTACTGCCTTGATTGATATATTGAATCCCCAATGTACTGAAAATATGATTCAAGCATGATATCATTATTGATATTTCATGCAGACCAAAGTATGCACTTACTAAGAAAGCATTTGTTGCATTTATATATAAAACATGTAAGTAAAAATAAATGTAAAAAAATTCTAAACAAACATGTAACCTAAATTAATAATACATGGTGAAAATGAAAACATCTTTTAACTACTAAACAATGACTAAAAGTCATGTAATATTAAATGTAAAAGAAAAATAAGTTTTAGCAGACCTAATAAAGTTTTAAACAATTCTAAGCTTACTTATGAGATAACATTCATAACAATTTCATGCTTTTTTAATATTTTTAAATCCTGTTTCCACAATAAATTTGTAAAATCTTATTTCCACAGAAGTTTATTAATTGATTTGATTATTTTAAAAATACTTGCTCAGTATTTTTTATTCTTAATTCTGGAAAGTTTTTGGGGAGGATTAACTGTTTAGGCACACATTATTTTGTTTATACCATTTTTTGTTTATTTGTTGTTTTTAAAACTTAAACTAAAATGCAAATTTATAACATTTTTTTAAAACATAGCTATCAATTATAATTATAATAATAACACAAGGTTATAGCTATGGTTTATATTTAAAAAAAATGGATTCCAGTATTAAGTTGCATTATAGTTGCCTTTGATTGTTTCTCAAATAATCATTGTCTATCTTGTTTTTAAATTTGTTTATTGTTTCTTGATTTACTGTTTGTGAACTTAGTTTATTCTAATTGTTTACAATTCTGTTGATAAAAATAGTCTCGGTAAACAAGATTTTATGAGCTCCTTAGTAATGGAGTGCTGATTTCTTAAATGCAGTTGATAGGTATTTATGCAATTGATAGTTTCAAATCTCTTGTGGATTTTATATTGATAAATTAGATAAGCTCTTGCACTTTGTTTTTCTAAAGGCATAAGGCCGTTTTCCACAAGACGAAATATTCGCGCGAAGCGAATTTTTTCGCTATGACGAAACGCTGTTTTGATTTCTACTTACTTTTCGCGCTACTTTTTTTCGTTGTCAACAATAAAAATGGCAGCAATAAGTTTACGTTGCATGTTAAATTAAAGGCAGTTATTACTTTTTTAGCATACTTTCTAGTTTGAAGCATGTGAAAATTTCTTTCCGTGCATTAATATTAACATTTCTGCCTTTTTAAGTGAGATGTAATATTATTTTGTAATATAATCATTTAATATAAGGTTTTTTTTACAAGCAAGTATAAGAAAATAAATGCTAAACTCTGATATAAACATTTCGATTAAAAAACTGTTACTGCAAGAAGGAACAGCAAGTTTAACTCTATGTAGAATTTTTCAAAAAAAGGTTTATCTTCGTGTGGCCACTTGAAGATAAAGATTCTTATGAAGTGTAACTTTTGTTAATGACAGTGTGAAAATTTATATTTGTAAATTCTCAATTTAGTTTTCTATATAAATCTGGTCATTTTTTTTAAGTAAGTCTTGCCCCTTGTTTGATGAATTTACTCATGCTTGCCAATTTTAAGAGTAAGTTCATATAAAATTAATAAGAACCCTAGGTTAAGAATTTTGTTTATTGTTACTTTAAAAACATGTTTTCGCTTTTTTTAATGTTGACACCACGTGATATAATTTTCAAAACTTGATTGGTTTTCGCTTATGGCGATTCGCAAAAAGTCGAAATGAATCCGACTTTTTTTTTCGCTGCAGCGAAACGCTGTAGCGAAATAAAATAAGTACAATTGCTAAAAATGTTTAATCTGCGCATGCTTAACGACAAAAAAATTCACTTCGCGCGAATTTTTCGTCTTGTGGAAAACGGCCTATAGAGTAAAAGTGCGTTAAACTGATCACCGGACAATAAAAATCAAATAACTTTGTTTTGTTTTTTTTAAATAAGATAGAAAATACCAAAAAGAAAATTATTTATCATTATTATTTTTTTTTTTTTTTTTTTTTAATTGTATTTGAAAGTATAGAAATCAAAAGAAAAAAAAAATGATTGCTTTTGGTAGAAATTCTATTAAAACCAATCAATATAAAATACTAATGTAAATTTATATTAATAAAGTTTATTTATATAAATTTTTATAAATTATATAAACATTTTATCTAAATGCATATATTTTTATATTTTTTTTATATAGCATACAGGCATAGGCTATATATTTTTCATATAGCATACAGAAATAACAAATGATTGAAGTGTTACATTTTTTATTTCAAAATAAATTTTTTAATTCAAAATAAAGAACCCATTACAGGCCTTGTTTTAAATAAAAAAATGCTTAACACAATAACAATAACACAATTGATGTGAATTTGACATCATAAAATGCTCTTTAAATTTTTTATTTTTTAAAGACAACTTTTTACTTTTTAAATTACTGCAATAATATTAATTACTGCAAAATGAGTTAAATGTTGTCTAACTTCTTTATATTACTTTAAGGAAACGTTTATTTTATTTTGTTAAAAAATTAGATTTAATATTAAATTTTAAAAATGTTTGATATTAACAAATTTCTTTGTTCTCTCAACATTGACATAAATAAATTAAAATATGTTAAATTTTTGAATTTTTTAATGATTTCTTACATTTCTAATTCCTGCTTTGCAAATACAAATAATTTTTTATTTAAAGAAAGTTAGCGAGTAACAAATAAATAAATTACTTTATTTACTTTTTTAATTAAAAGTTTATAATTTTGTTAGCGATTTTATTGTGAAAGCAAAGATTATTTTTTTTAAACATCATTTATTAAAATTATATCACTGTATATATCGTTTATTAAAAAATAATTGCTGCGATTTAACTTGCATTATAAAAACAAAGTTTAACTTATGTTTTGTGCAAATTTTTGATGCAGCTTGATGCAAATTTTTGATGCAAATTTTTGATGCAGCTAACAGATGCATTGTTATGTCCAGAAAACAATATAATTTTGATGCAAACCAAAATTATATTGTTTTCTGGACATAACAATGCATCTGTTAAACTGACGTGAGATGAATGTCTATCAAGATGTAATATATGAGTACCTCTAGCTTGACATTGTGATATATGTACTTCCTTCAACCATTCAATAAATGCATCATGCTCCATCCAACCAGAATTAAAAATTGAATATTTGGTGCTAGTACCTAAAGCTCACTGATCTTGATCCCTTGAAGCTCACATTGATGTTGTTCTTGCAACCTATTAGAGTTAAGAATTCCTTATTTGAATGCAGCTTTTCTGATTAAAGTATTATTTTTTTTTATATTATTATTACACAGCTTCTATATCTTTTTCATTGTTTTTTACTTGTTATCTTGAAAGTGAATAATTAATAAGTATCATTTGTAAATCCAATCATTTATTTCACATAGTTACCTAGTTTAAAAATACACATACTGCTCAATAAAGGAATTTAAAGTAAATATGTGATAAATTGGTTTTACCAAAAATCATTTTACCCCTATCTTGTAAAAAATTGAATTTTTTACAAGATAGGGGTAAAATGATTTTCAAAGGAAATATTGTTCCCGAGTTATTACAATAACAAATAAAAGAAAAAAGCAAATATTTACCAATCAATTTTAAACTTTCATAAAAATAAAATGACTTAAAAATGACTTGGATTTTATTTTGACACATTTGAATAAAGGAGATAATTCTCTTTCTTCTAGCATTTTAATTTTTTAAATATTCCTATGAGTTGCAATTTTATTAATGTTTTTTGATCAGTGGTCGAAAAAGTATTATTATTGGTTTGAACCGCTTTTACTCTAATTCTTAATCTTTTTAGCTGCTCTTTTTTAACCGGTCTTCATAGCCAGTCTTCATAGCCAGTCTTTTTTAACCGATCTTCATAGTTGTAACTTTTTAACTCATTAATAATTTTTTTTGCTCTTTATATGCTCTCTACAGTTTTAATGTCACCTTTAAAACTTTATAGCATATTTACCATGTTTTTTATTTTAGTTTAAAATTATTTTATGAAGATGGGAAGTTAGCATTTTTTACTTTATCTGGAGATGATATAAATGAACTACCTTACATCATCAACAGATTGAAAGCTGTTACTCCAGGATGTGAGGTTGGTGTTTTTAGATAAAATTTATTAAATTTTAAACTAGTTTTATTTAAAAACAAAATTCTGTAGATTAATGTATTGTTATGTAGATTACTGTATTGTTATAAGGGCATAACAGATCTGACAAAATAATTAGGATCTGGATCCGGAGCCTTCCCAGATTTTAAAGATTTAGACCCGGTCCAAATACGGATCCAATTTTAACTTAAAAACAAATAAGAAAACTATTTTACACAAGAAATTTTTATTTTTAAAATATATATAACCACAGTTAACTTTGAGAAATAAATTCTTTGTAGCATTTCGTATCGACAAACCTATTTTAACTTTAATTTTTATCACGTTTAATATTTTTCCTAGTAACTTTCTAAAAAGTGTGAGGTATCAATAGTATTATCATTTAAGCTACTCCTAAGTTTGATTACAAACAATCCGCATGTACTAAAAGCTTGTTCACTCTCAACAGATGTTGGTTGGATAGTTTTTAAGCACTGAAATAAAATCTCCTAATTAGAAGTACGTTTTTTTGTTGACTCAAAAAAAAACTCTTTATTGAGAGATTTTATTCTGAGATCTTCATTATTTAATTCTTGTATTAGCTCAGCACTTTGTATAGCTTTTTCTAGCTGTGTTTTCATATCAAAATTTTCTACTCTGATTTCAAAATCATTGTCAGTATTTTCTTTACAATCTTTTTTGATTGCTAAAAGGTAAAAGCCTTTGTAAAAACTTTTTAGCTAACAATAAGTGCTGATTTTTTGGCTTTACTCCAAAAGCATTAAAAAGTACCAGATAATAGAAAACTAGGGTTGTTTAAATATTCCATGAGGTGAATTTAGGATTTCTCAAAATTCTTATTTTTAAAGCATCATATAATTTTTTGCTTATGTCAGATTCATATGATTGTAGTTGACTTATATCCAAAAACTTTATCTGCTCTAAGCAAATTAGAGTCTCGATAGCAAAGTGCTTCCGCTCCTAATTTTACAGGTTTTAAAGCCTTAACTAAATCTTTAAGAATTAGCAGCTCTGAATCTGGTATTAATGTTGGAGACTGCACTTGGATAAGTACCATTTTAATGCATTTGTTTAACTTAACCATAGTCATAAGAATAAATAGTCTGGAAATAAAGGCCGTTTCCATTGTTTTGCCGTTTTATGTTGAAACTCGTATCAACGACCCGCTGAAGGTGCACAGAAAGATAAACAAAACTATATCTCTATAAGAGTTTGAACTGAAGACTGGTTTTAAGATTTAATTTATATAGTTTTTGAAAATTTTTGTATTAATTATTTTTCTAATCTGTTAAGAAAAGATTATTTAGTTTTAAAAATCTATTTTACATAGCTGAAGTAGTTATAAATAAGATAATATATATATTATATATATATAATATATATATTATATATATATATATATTATCTTATTTATAACTACTTCAGCTATGTAAAATAGATTATATATATATATATATATATATATATATATATATATATATATATATATATATATATATATATATATATATATATATATATATATATATATATATATATATATATATATATATATATATGTATATATATCTATATCTATATATATATATATATATATGTATATATATATATATATATCAATATATATATATATATCAATATATATATATATATATATATATATATATATATATATCAATGTATATATATATATATATATATATATATATATATATATATATATCAATATATATATATATATATATATATATATATATATATATATATATATATATATATATATATATATATATATATGTATATGTATATATATCTATATCTATATCTATATATATATATATATATATATATATATATATATATATATATATATATATATATATATATATATGTATATATTTATGTATGTATGTATATTTTTTTCGTCTTTAATTTTCATAGTTATTTTAAAGTCATTTTTTAGGCTGAAGAAGAAAATTTATATCATAGACTTTTAAACTTTTTTAGTAATATACAACGTCTTATTGACATGGTACAATGTAATTTTGCATAATTTTGAATAAAAACTTTTTTTTAACAATGCCAAGCTTGCAAGAACAAATAATAATAAAGAAAATTGTAATCAATTCACTAAAATAAATTACAGTTGTTTAAATTTAATGTAAAAGTAACAAGAAAAAAAGGAGATCGATACTTTCGCTTTTATATGTTTTTGTTTACTGTGCACCTTCGGAAGAATGAGAACGAGTAATTTCTGGAACAAAAACATAAACAAAGCGCTATTGTTTGCTTCCAGACTATATATTTCTTATGACTATGACTTAACAAAGCGTTCAACCATATCAAATAATGAGTTCCAATGTGTCTTGCAGTCTAAAATGAGTTTAAGTTCATGTCCAAACTCTGATTTTACATACTTCTGCAACATATCATCATTTTTGAAAGGTTTTTTTTTTTAAACAATTTTATTATTGTGTGAACTTTTTTTAAAATTAAAAAATAATCTTTTATAACAACAGCCTCTACTGAACTTTTCTTCGTGATGGCCCCTGGGTAGAAATCTTTTGTCTCCCTGTTGACAAATGTGCTTCTTACATAACTTCGTGGATTCAGGCTGGCATGGAATCCTTTATTCCCCCTCGACAATTCCAGGTCAAGCCTCACTCTTCTCCATGGTTTTCCTCACATTGTGCTGCTGCAATTGCCAATCGAAACCATTACTTCCATATCTATCAGCAAAACAATTCTCCAGAAAACAGACGTCTGTTTATTACTTCTAGAAACCATTGTAAAAAGGTTTTGTCTAATGCCAAAGCCTGCTATTCTCAGATCATGAAATCTCGTATTTCATCACAAAAATTAGGCTCTCGTGACTTCTGGAGAATCTTTAATAGTATCAATAACAAGGGCAAGTCTGTGATTCCACCTCTTTTGTATAGTTCAGACTTTGTCACCTCACCTAAAGACAAAGCTGAATTGTTTGCCAAGAACTTTTTATCAATATCATCTCTTGATGCCACTAGTTGCCTTCTACCTGATATAGCCGTCAAACAGGTTGATCCATTGCTCGACATTCGTATCACTCCAGCTTCTGTATCTAAAGTGATTTCCCGCTTAGACTCTTCTACAGCTTGCGGCCCGGACAACATACCTGTTATAGTCTTGCAGAAGTGTTCTCCGGAGCTGTCGTCTATCAATTCAAAACTATTTAACAAGTGCTTATCAGAGTCTTGTTTTCCAGCCTGCTGGAAAGCAGCATCTGTTATCCCTATTTTTAAAAATTCTGGAGAACGATCCAATTTGTCTAACTACCGTCCCATTAGTCTTCTTCCTATCATTAGCAAGGTTTTTTGAATCTTTAATTAACAAACACTTAACCTCTCATCTCGAATCTCATAACCTACTTTCTGATCATCAATATGGATTTCGATCTTCTCGTTCTACGGCTAATTTGCTATCAGTAATAACCGATAGGTTTTATCGCACATTAGATAAAGGTGGAGAGGTTAAGGCCATTGCTCTTGATATTTCTAAAGCGTGATAAAGTTTGGCATGCTGGTCTTCTCCATAAGCTTTCTTCTTACTGTGTATCTGGAAACATCTTTAAGATTATTGAATCCTTTCTTTCCAATTGTAGTATAAAAGTTGTCCTTGATGGACAGCACTCTTCTTCTTATTCTGTAACCTCAGGGGTTTCTCAAGGTTCAATCCTTGGCTCTATACTCTTTTTAATTTACATTAACGATCTTCCAGATATTCTCACATCTAAGGTGGCATTGTTCGCTGATGATACTACCATTTATTCTTGTCACGATAAGAAGCCAAGGATTAACTCTTACTTACTCACGATAAGAAGTTAAGGATTAACTCTTACTTCTGATCTTTCTTGGAAACCTTATATCAAATCAGTTGCAAAATTAGCATCTGCTAAAGTTGCTTCTCTTTATCGAGCTCGTCACTTTCTTACTCTGGATTCTATTCTCTATCTCTATAAATCTCAAATCCGGCCTTGTATGGAATACTGTTGCCATATCTGGGGTGGATCTTCTAATGATGCTCTTTCTCTTTTAGACAAGGTGCAAAAACGCATTGTAAACATAGTTGGACCTGCTCTTGCAGCCAACCTTCAACCTCTGCCACATCGTCGTAATGTTGCTTCTATTTCTCTTTTCTACAAATGCTATAATGGGCACTGCTCGAAAGAGCTAGCGTCTCTTGTGCCATCTACTAAAATTCATTCTCGTGTTACTCGTCATTCAATTAAGTCTCATCCTTTTTCTGTTACTGTTCCTAAGTGCTCCAAAAACTCTTATTTGTCTAGTTTTTTTCTTCGAACATCAGTTCTTGGGAATTCGCTTCCTTCATCTTGCTTTCCTGATTCATATAATTTGCAATCTTTTAAGTCGACTGTCAATCGTTATCTTGCTCTACAATCTTCATCTTTTCTCTTCCAGTAATTTCCAACACTAATTAGTGGTTGCTTGCAGCCTTGTTGAAAGCGAAGATAATTTAAAAAAAAAAAAAAAAACAATTTTCAAATGCAATGTAGCCCAGCTCTACGCCTTGATTAAGCTCTTCACTATCATCCTCACTATTATCTCCACTAATATTAATTTCAAATTTATTTTTTTGGTCTAAAGTTTTAGTTGGTTTCATTAAAGTACATCCTCTACTGCTGAATGGATATAGCAAATGTAATGTAGTGGATTGATTAAGCTGCCAAATTTAACCATATCTGATGCATTATCTCTAGTTGTACTAACAATATCATTATTAAATTCCAGTTTGAATTCATTTAACTTATCTCAACAGCTTTATCAGATGGCAATATGTGCAAGTCCAAGATTATAAAGGTTTCCAATTGTGTGCACATTAATATTCATATAACAACACGTTTTAATTGATGTATATTCCTCAACAGTTAAACTAAATCTGAAATTGTTAGCTTAATGTCTTTAACAAGATCCCGTAAAATATTTTATTGGAAATTAAACATGAAGGTATTTTTTTGTCCTTTAGCTAAAGCAAATTCTTGTAACGTCTTACTTTTATCAACAGTGTTATATGAAAGTCTGTCAATTGCAATGAGATCTGTTAGTATATTAGCAATAGTATCTTTTGCTTGTACAAAATTTCTGATATCTTTTTGGGATGAACTTTGAACTTTTTTTGTAGGATGTAATAATGGCTCGTTACAATTCTATTTTATGCTTGATCTTTAGATCTTGGATCCGACTATATTCTAATTGTTCTGTAGAATACTGTATTGTTCTGTAGATTACTGTATTGTTCTGTAAATTACTGTGTTGTTCTGCAGATTACTGTGTTGTACTGCAAATTACTTTTTTTTGTTTTTTTTTTTGTTGTTGTTTTTTTGATAATTTACTTTATTATTTTGTTATTAAATTTTGCACTTCATTAAAAATAGTATGGTATTGTTGGTGTGAATTATAAAACTTAGTTATTATTGCATGATTGGTTTCTAAATAGTTATGAAATATGAAAAACTTGAATACAATAGTAATAATAGTTTTTTTTTAGGAATCCAGTTATTTTTCATTTTATTAAGAAAATTTTAAGTGGGTTTTAAATTCTAAACCTAGACAACTTTAAAAGAAGAAAATTATGAAGTCTTAAAATTTTATCTACCTTTAAAGCAATATTTTGTGTCTATTATTAAGTTATCTTAATACACTTGAACTACTTTTTTGTTAAAAATATACTTATGAGGTTAGTTTTACATATTAATGAAAATTTGTTAATAAAGTACTGATTCTGCATAATATTGAGAGAGAAAAAATACAGAAATAGAAAATTGTAGGCTACTCGGTGTAATTAAGGCTAATAAATTATTCGAATTATTTCACTTGGAATTAGCATGATTTGGAATGATTTTATGATTTTGATGAATTTGGAATTGATTTTGTCAGCGTATTAAGTCCAAACATGAGCTATAGATGTTATAATTTTTTTTTGCTTCAAGATTTTCTAATGTTTAAAAAAACTTTTCTCTTTTTCATATAATTTTCAAAACTTTTTCAATACCCGAATTGCGAATTTAAAACACCATTTTTGAGTCTTTAGATCAATTCTGCTCAACAGCGTTAACTTATTTTTAATTTTAAAATTTTTTTTGAAAAAGTGCCATAATCTCTACTATAGATCCTAACTCTAGTCTGTTCTAGCACAATATAATTGTCAATACATAACATTTCTATCAATTTTCACAAAAAATATTAGAATTCAAATTTGGACAAGCAATGGTGATTTAGAGATCTATTTTTTTTTTTTTTTAAATTTTGGTTGGGTTTTTTTGCTACAAACATATTTATTTTATTGCAAAATTTATCATTTTTTTGTCTTTTCATATTTCACAGACCTGGTCATTAACAGAAATATGTCATAGTCAGTAAAATATTATATAGACGCTATAATAATTGTAACTACACCGAGTAGCCCATTAATTTTACATTTCAATATTAATTGAATATTATGGTTACCAAAAAAGGTTAAAACAACTTTTTTTTAATAAAATGACAAATCATTAGTTGCAATTCTTCATGGTGAACTTAATCATATTAAATATATTTATAATAAAATATATTTACAATAGAATGAATTCATAAAAGAATATTTATGAAAAAAATATACAAAAACTTATATCACCTTACAAAATTGGTTTTTACAAGTTTACCTTTTTATTTATGTACTTCATTTCAATATGATTTCTCGTCTATATTTAATAATTAGTGTTCTCCTGGTTTATGTGACACCATACTTGTAAATTATTGAATTATTATTATAAATTACTATATCTTCATGTGTATGTATGTATATATATATATATATATATATATATATATATATATATATATATATATATATATATGTATGTATGTATGTATGTATGTATAAATTAAAATATAACTTTTTAATATATTTTTTATTTTATTTTTTTTAACAATTATTATAAATATAATTATTAATTTTTTTTTACTAATCATTATTATTAATATCCTTATTGTAAATGATTTTGAAAGGAAAGTAAATAGATTTATTTTGAATTTTGAAAGGTAAAAAAAATAGCTTGTTGCTGTTTATATTGTTGTAGTTATACCATATATCAAAGTTTAGATGTTGTTAAAAAATGTTGACTAATAAAATATATTTGCTATAATATAATCTTTTTTTAAATATATTTAAAATAATCTTTTTCACAAAGTATTACTAGCTTTGTTCTTCTTTATTAGACTCAAGATTTAATTTTGCGAAGAAACAATGATGGGCAACTTGGGTTCCATGTATATTATCAAGGGCTTGTTGCAGATGTTGAACCTTATGCATTAGCTTGGCAAGCTGGGCTACGAAAGGGCAGCAGATTATTAGAGGTAATAATTTATTAACTATGATTGTCATTGAAGCACCTTCCCCCACCTGACCTCCCTCTTCATGCCCAAGAAATTAACAAATTTTAAAAGTTGTTTAAGTTTTTTTTTAATGTTATTTTACTTTTAATTTGATAAACTATCATAATAAAACTTATATAATAAAATAAAAAACTATTTGGTTCAAAAAATCATTTGAAGTCATTTGATTGAAATTAATTTTAATCACTTCAATCAATCAATCAATCAGTCGTTTTACTAAGGATTCAACATTTTTAATTATCCTAAATGTTATGTTTAATTCAAGACTTTTTTTTATTATCATTTTCAGTCTGGTTTAAGATTCAAAAATAAAAGTCTGTTAGTGTTGTTTGTGGAGTGATAAAGTGTGATATTCTCTTAAGTAGTGTTGTTTGTGGAGTGATAAAGTGTAGAATTCTCTTGTTTTGTTTGTCTCTGTGGTAGCGCATAATGTATTTCAGTGGAAATGTAATACTTTGCACATTGCAAATTGTTACATTTTCATATACATATTAATATTTGTTGCATAAGAATCAGTTTTTTTTAGGCTGTTTTTTTTTTTGTTTGTTTGTTGTTGTTTTTTCTTTACTCTTTCTTTTTGTTTGTTTTTGTTTATTGTAAAAATAATGTAATTGTAGATAAACAATTTGGTTGTTGTTAATATGGCACATGAAAAAATGATCCAAATGTTAAAAAGACCTGGTGCAGTACGAATTGTGGTACTTCCACCAGCATCTGATGGTCAACCAAGAAAGTATGTATATTTTTTTTAAACTTAAATTATGCAGCATTTTTTACTATGGTTTATAATAGTGTGTGTGATACAAGCCATAGCTGCATGTGCTATTATAGCTGCATGTGTTATTATAGCTGCATGTGTTGATTTCATTTTAAAAGTCTAAAAAATCTTTGGCATCAATTTTCTTCCTTGTATATTGAGAATTATATATATATATATATATATATATATATATATATATATATATATATATATATATATATATATATATATATATATATATATATATATATATATATATATATATATATATATATATATATATATATATATATAAACAATATTTAAAATGTATTCTACAAAATAGAGTACTCAATGTTCTAAAAAGAACAGAGCAATTATATATATATATGTATATGTATATATATATATATGTATATATATATATATATATATATATATATATATATATATATATATCAAATTCACTGCCGTTAAAGCTGCAAGCAACCGTCAAGGAGTTAACAGATAATAAAGAAGAGAAAGAAAATGACAGATGAAAATGACAAATAATAGATGAAAACGACAAATGACAAATGATAGGTGAAAATAACAAACAACAGATAAAAATGACAAATAACAGAAGACTTTTTTTGACTGAAAGATCTTTTAACTACAGTTTTGCATAAGTTAAAGATTTGTTTACCAAATTTGTTTTCTTTTTTTTTTTTCTAATAATTTTACTTTTTACTAAGACTAAAAAACTAAAATCGTTGTAACCATAGTAACAAAATAACTAAAATTTACCTGTTGTAACCATAGTATTAAAAACATATTTTAAATAAATGTACTGATACCACTTTATGCTAATGCATAGCAAATATTTAGTGAACTTTGAATATTTTCTTGCAATTCATTATATACTTAAAGCTGCTGTTTTTTAATAAGAAGAAACAGTGAATCATTTTGAAATGTAATAAGTTATTAAACTTTATTAAGTTCAGCAAAAAAGATTAAATACACATAGGTAGAGTTAAATACACATAGGTAGAGTTATATTGTTGTAAAATAAGTTAATACCTTGGATTGCATATTAAAAATTACTTTGAAAAAAAAAGTAAAATATAATATTTTTACTTAAAATATTATTTATAAAATTTATTTGTTGTATAGAGAAAAAACTTCCTTCTGAACAAATTATAAATATAAGTTAAATGTAAGTTTTTTTTTGAAAATTTTATATTTCCTCAAAAGGGGGATCTTGAAAAGAGGTTTTACTTTAAATATAAATTACTGAAAGATGATTAATTTTATGTTACTTAATATGTATATATTTACCGTTTTCAGAAGATCATTTGCCATTTGCTCAAGTCTTAACAAAAGTTTGTTATTGTTTAAATGTGGCTGTGTTAAATGCTCCTATAAAATTTGTTCCTATAAAATAAATGAAGTTGTTATGTTGTATGATAATCATGTGTCTAGCCATAATTGACCACAAAAGTCATTGTGAAAAATATGCATGAAAACTTTTAACATACAAACAAATATTTTGTAAAAGGTAAGGATACTATATCAATAAGCTAAGTTAAAATGTTAAAAAAGAACCTTAAAGTTAATTAAAACTCTCAAAAAATAAAATTTAAAAAGAAATAAAAAAAATTGATATAAAAGAAGTTCCATGGCAACTTCTGTATATCACAAAAAATGAAGAACTTTAAAAACCATGTACAGCCCTGCTTTATGAGTTTCAGTCAGACCACTTAGCAACTAAAGATAAAATATATCCAATCAAATAGGTCAGGGTTAATTGTCTTAGGCAAAATTAAAGCATTGGAACCAAAGATCAACCTAGATCTGGAAAATTAACGTAATTCAATTAGAAGTGTTTAAAGCAGCTAAATGAAAACAACCCAAGATTAACTACTCACTTATTTTCAAACAAGCAAATAACATAGAATAGCCCTTGAATGAAATAGAAAAAATCTCCAAGCTCAGGGTTTAAATACTATGCTGTCAGCAAGCAGACACCTGTATAAGCTACTTGGTTTTGCACTGTATCTCGAACTTGGTGTAGTTTATGTGGAATAACCACTTTGGCGATGATATGGTCATATTATATATATATGTTTATGTAGAGTACCCAAGTGGGTACTCTACATAAACACCAAGAATCGCAAATGGTTTGGGCTGAAACAACTACCAAAATCAACACTATTGTCTCATTTTCCTACTTTCCCAACATAGCACCAGCAGATTATTACTTGCTTTAATCGCTAAGTAACAGCTATGAAAAAGTTAATGTAATTAAAGATTTAATGACAATTAGACAATCTGAAGATGCTTTTAAAAAAAATCGTGTTTAAAGATGCTATTAAAAAAAAGCATTTTCAAACACGTCTTAAGAAGAATTAAAAATATTTTTATTAGAATAGTTTTGATTTAGTCTATTGTTATTTGAAATAGGAATTTGTTTTAAAAGTTGAGGGGGATGATTTGAATTTATATTAGTATATGATAATTCATCAATAGGTTTTTTATAAGGTCTAAGAATTTTCAGAGAGGTTAAATGTGACATCAAGAAAATTCGCAACTTTTAAATTAATGTTCTATTACAGCAATTTCTATTACACTTACAGCAGCAATTATATATATATATATATATATATATATATATATATATATATATATATATATATATATATATATATATATATATATATATATATATATATATATATATATATGTATATATATATATATATATATATATATATATATATATATATATATATATATATGTATGTATGTATGTATGTATTTATGTATGTATGTATGTGTATATGTATGTATGTATGTGTATATGTATGTATGTATGTATGTATGTGTATGTGTATAACCCATAAATGTGTTCTTAATAATTAAAAAAAACTGAAACGTTTTTGAATAAAAATTTTTTTCAAGGGACCTTTATTATTAAACGGTTTTTAATATTTATAAAAATAAATTTTCAAAAGTAGCTCAAGCTGGTACTCAAGTTTTGCTAAGTTAAGCCATAAGTTTGTATCGCATAACTGTGGTTGCATAACTATGGTTTTTTAATTAAAAATAAAAAAAATGAGTTAATACAAGTTATTCAAAAATGATTTTTTGTTAATTTATTTTCTATAAGAGTATAGATGAATTTATTAAATTACTACTTTAGTATTAAGATTAAATAAAGCCTTTAAATTTTTTAGTAGTTATAGATCTGTAAAAATGCGCCGATTTTCAAGTATGACTTCAGTATATAGTATGAGCGTTTTTGCTGACACTGATGCGACTAGTACTTCCTCAAAGGAATGCATGACTACAGCAAGTAGCGAATCACCAATGATAACAAGTAAATTGGAAATTCAAACCAAACCTCGTTCATTATCTGTTGAAATTAAGTAAATTGTTTCAGTATTTTTATTGCTTTTGTATTTATTTATTTTTTCCGATATTGCATCAAATTATTATTTTTGCATTATTGTTAAGTTATAATATATATTTGATGACCAATAAAACCTATGCAAGTAATACCTTTTGACATCTAAAATCGATCATATTATGCCAATAATTTTTTGTATATTCGACAATCAACTTGGTGTTTACAGAAACGCGAAATCTTTATTCACGCATGTCATGATGCAAAAATTTGGCTTTTGCTTTATTCTAAATTTGAATAAAGTTTTAGATTCTGTTTTGTTTTTTTTATAGACTGAACTGTATTTTTATAAGGTTAAATCATGTTGTTTTTTTTTTCTTTTTTATAAGCAGTTTTCCCAGCGGGCATTTGTTTTTAAAAGTTACGTTCTAAATGTGTTTTAAACATTTTTCCGTAAAAAACGTTTAAAAGACGTTTAAAACACATTTAGAACGTAACTTTTAAAAACAAATACCCGTAGGGTTTGTTTATATTCTTGAACTTATTTTTTTTTTTAATACTTCCAGCTCTGCTCGAGACCAACCAAGATCATCTATTGATTCTACTTCTTCAGATAGTTCAAACAATGAACCTTATCCTTCAAAAACTCATGACTCAATAATTATGTCACGGTCTACATCAGATATTGCATTAAAATCAGCTGTTACATTTACTTCAATACAACCAAAGTTGCCGCCAAAAAATGCTCCGCTTGCATCTTGCAATAAGCTAACAAGTGGCTCTTTGAGTATTGAACAAGATTTAGATGATATCGAAACAAAATTAACTGATACTCGTAAGAGCATTGATGCAAAATTTTATCGCTCTTTAGCAAATAGCCCAAGTCCTTTTTTTCGACAAAAGCAAAATCTCGGTGCATCTAATGATTTTATACATGAAGATGTTTTTCACCAAGTTTCTGAAGAAGTCTCTGAAAGTATAGTACAAAGAAATAATCTTTCCGTGTCTGAAAAGCGACTGAATCGAAGTAGTTTAGAACATGCTTTTGAAAATCCTCGTGAACTACCAGATCGTGAACTTTCTGATAACTCTGGCATTGCTGTTGTCGATGTTCCTTTTTCATTTAAGGTACCTCAATCCATTATCTCTGAGCAAGATCCCGTTTTAAGGAGAAGGTGGTCGGTTAATGATAATCATCGAATCGAACCAGAAAATCATTCTGACAGTAAATCTATGAGTGTTGAAAGATTAAACGACAAAGATCCTGTGACTTTATTAGTAAAAACCAAAGTTTGTGACGTTTCAGATATTGTTATTGAAAGAAATGAAATAAATCGAGAAAGTATTTTTAAAACAAAATCACTGCCACAAAAGTTGGTAATTGAAAATCAGAGTTTACAAGATAACCAGATTTCAATTGAAGCTCCAAAAACCGTTGTGTCGTTATATTTGAATGATAATAAAACAAACTTAAGTTCGTCGGAACAGTCATTTAAGTTAAGTGATGGAGTAAAATCAAAGTTAGTACATAACACAACAAACCACGATTCTTCAGATGAAACTTTCTCAAAAATAGACGTTTCCTTCAAATCTCCTTTTAGTCTAGATGAAAAAAAGAAAAAAAGATTGCCTTCTAAACATAGGACGCGAAATTGTGAACCTCCAGAATCCGATTCTTCTGAAGATATTGAAACAAAACAACGTTTTATAAAAAGCGTAAAGAGACCTTATGATGAAAAAAACGTTTATAAAAGCGAAGCAGAAGAAAACTTTGAGGCAGCAATTTCTGAGTTTCAAAAGTCATTTTCTTCAATGCAGCAGGTTGCCGCCAAAAAGTACGAAACCACTAATAATAGCTCAATAAATCCACCTGAAATTCCTCTTCGTATGTCTCAGCCTATAACGCTTGTGAAACATCGCCTCAGTCAATTGAAAGATAGCAGTGAAAAACATCAATCCGATTTCAAGGAAAAGCGATCGGTTAGTGTACCATCTAAAATGCGTGCTGAAATTAAAGTTAGTTTGACTTCGCTTCGTCCCTGGACTCCACCTCAACCAAAACTTCACCCAAGTAATGTAATTAAAGACAATATAAATCAAAAATTAGGCAAAGAAGGGTTAGAAAGTTACGTAAAAGACAAACAGCTGTCTATTGCAGAATCTGATTTGACATCAACTAGTGTAACTATACATTCTGATAATCGGTTGGATGGAATTCGTTCTCTTCCATGCAGAGGAACTAAAAGATTGTACTCTGTGCCAGACAGAATAAAATCTCAAAGCGGTAAGAAGTTTTTTTTTTTTTTTTATATATATATTCATGATTATGATTTTGAGAATTTTTTTTTATCGGTTTTTTAAACGGAAATAGTAACTTTGCAAAGCAAAGTTACTATTTCCGTAGTTCCTGCTTTCTTGTTTTTTTAACATTAGTTATTTAAGTATATTATTAGCAATCAAAACCATTTTTCTTAAATTAAACTGAGACACAAAATATATTTTCAAGTTATTTTTATCTTACTTTATAAAATAGATATAATATAATAATTAGATATAAGATAATAATTGCTTTACAGTACTTCAGTATATCAGACGTGTTAATAAGTGTTGCCTATTTTTTAAAGTTTAGGTAACTGTTTTAAGTAATCATTATAAAAATTACCTAATGATGCAGAACAAAAAACACGTCATTCGTAGTTAATTGTCGTTTTATGACAAACTTAAAATTAATTGGACATTTTTATTGTATTACGTTAACTTTTTATAATTGTTTTATAAATGTGTGAAGTTAATACGTTATTAGAATCATTCATTTTCAAAAATCGTGAAGTTAAGTTTACTAAGACAGTTGTGTTTAAATATTTTGTATTTAAACAGTTAAGTATAATGCGTCAAAGGTCAGGTATGTTTCTTTTTTAATGATTTTATTATTCGTTACGGAAAAACATACAATATAATAATAAACTTACTCTTTATTATATTTGCTTCAGTGTCATCAATGCCGCTATCAGTAAAAGGGTTAAATCTGGCGACCATTGAAAAACAAAATTTTTGCGGACCGTGTAGTAATGAAGATCTACGCGTAATGCTGACTGTAATGGAAAACGAAATTGAACAAGTTTGTATTTTCTCTTCTTGGTTCCTTAATTTCTGTCATACCTGGATATTAAGTGTCTGTTTGTTATAGGTGAGGGAAGAGCGAGAAAGAGAAAGAGAAGAAGCTGAAAGAGAGAGAGAAAAGGAAAAGGAAGAAAAAGAACGTTTATCAATTGAGTTAAAAAAATCTCAAGAGGAAAATAAACGTCTTCTTGAACAGTCGAGGCAGGCTGTTTCTCATCTTCAAAAGTTTACTTCGTTATTTTTAGACTCTTCCCCTGAAGCACTTGAAAAATTGAGGCAAAGATATAGCGAAAGTTAGAAGTAATTAGATCAGAAATTAGAAAAAAACAATTTTCATTTTAAAATTTAAACAAAGTTAGTGTACATAAATATTGTGTATATTACGTGTGTATATATATAAATATATAAATGGTTATTTTTGTCTTTTTTTATCTTGTTCCTAATTCTTTGTCTTAACTTTTTCTCATTTTACTTTAAAATCTGCTTAAACTTGATTCTTTTAATAGACTTGCTGTACTACTTCCTTTATATTTATAAAATAAATTCAATAATTTTGGTGATACATTTAGCAATTCCCGGTGAGCGAGGGGGTATTGATGTAAATAAAATTAGATTTTTTTTTCAAATATACATTCGTATTTTTTACAAATAACAAAACAATATGATTAGTGGCAACATTTAAAACTTATCAAAATTTGAAAGTAATTTAAAACGCAAGATCATGACGTCTTACGCGCTATTTGCAAATCCATCGATTACATTATTTTCATTCATAGCAAAACAATTGAAGGCTCTTTTTTTGATTGTATGTAGTAACTCATGATACTAAATCCAATTCAGTTTGGTAATAGTAGAAATAATCCATGGAACTGGAATGAAACTGTCTCATCTAAAAAAACCTTATATATCAAGAAATGAAAAAAAACTTTCAAAATGAAATAGATATTTTAGTTTTTTATATTCGTAATTTTAGTTCTTTACATCTAATAGCATCTATTTTAAACTAATTATGACGTTTAAGGTACCATTTTTAAACTGGCCTTAAAAAAACATTAAGAAATAATTGAATTCATAAAAAATATATCTACTTAGATTACATTACCCATTGTACTTATCATTTTCTAGAATCGATGTTTTTTACTTATCATTTTCGATGTTTTTTAATGCAAAAGAATAGGTAAATATTTATTTCGATGTTTTTTAATGCAAAAGAATAGGTAAATATTGAAATATAACAACAAAATACATGAGAAATTTTTTAAGTACAATATAGAATGATTTATAAATACTACATTTTAATTTATAATAATATATACGTAGAAAGTCTTTTATCTTTGCATCTGAATCTGATCTGCCTCATAATGATCAGTATCATATTTTGATAATCACCGCTTCCCAGCTACATTTTTCTTTAAAATTGCAAGCATTTGTGCATGATAAACAGTTTTCAGTACCATAACAATCTCTTTGTTTGCAGAGTTGCAGTTCGTCTAGTTAATCCTGATTCCAGCAGTATGAACAGTCCATCCATGTTCTTCTGGAGATGGAATTACATGATAACTCATTAGAGCTGATTTCCATATTTGCATTGGTAGGTGGGTCTTGAAGTGTGTTGCTGTAAGCTTGCTTTATAAAGAAGCCTTTCATAATCTATTTTTCTTTTTGAATAGTTTTTTGGAACGTTTTGTATTGGAGATGATTTATGTCTTCACATTTCAAACCATAAAGTGGCAAGTAAATTCCAGCTCTGACGCTTTTTTCTTTTGAAAAATAAACTTTAAGGCTTTAATCTTCCCTAGAAAAATAAACTTTAAGGCTTTAATCTTCCCTAGAAAAATTCATCCTCCTTCTCCTGAGAAATTTTTTCAATTTTTTATTTTTTTTTAAGTTTCCAGTAAATTCTTAATATGAATGATTTCCGTTTCTATGTCAACAGTTTCAATGTCAACCTCAAAAGATCACAAGCATTCCGATATAGCATACAACTTTTGAAAAATAAAAATAAAAACAGCCAGTATCAGATATAAAAAATTTGTTTGATTATAAAAAACATTCAGGTTAAAATTTTCCAATTGCATGAACAACAACATCACTAGTTTTAAAGTTAACAAAAATAATTGAAACACTTTTTGATTGAAACATTTTTCTGTACAACTCATAGTTACTTATAAGCTCTGAAACAGTTTGTCCATCACATGGCAAAATCAGTTTGTCCATCACATGGCAAAAACAGTTTGTCCATCATGGCAAAATCAGCTTGTCCATTACATGGCAAAAACAGTTTGTCCATCACATGGCAAAGTTGGGTCAGTTTTAGCAACACAAATTTCATTATTTTTTAAGCCATGTTTTGCGATAAATCTAGTTAACTGTTCGATTTAGTGTCTCATAGCTACTGCTTTACAAACAATTTTAAAATTTCCTACAGATCAAGCTTCAAACCTTTCAATTTACTTTCGCAACGCGTAACCCACATATGACTTAGTGAACCAAGCATTTTAATAATACGAGGATAAAAAATAAGGTTATGAAAGTTTAAAATTAAGACACACTTAAACACATAACACTGTTCTTGTAAAAACTCAGGATGAGAGAACTTAAATAAAATTCATCAGATTTGCTAAAATGCAAGCCAAATGAGTAAAGGACAATTTGCTTTAGTAATAAAAAAACAAACCCAGACATTGTCATCGATAGGAACAAAAATCTTTAATCAAAAAAAAGAAAAGCTTAAAACCAAATTTAGCATTTCAATTGCACCGATATTAATGGAACCTTAATTTATTTTAAACTCATAAAAATATCTCATTCGGCTATTTACGTCACAAAAATTTCTCATTCTGCTATTTATGTCACAAAAGTTGAAACTTTTTTTGTCAAATACTAGATCATTTAACATTTTTTTAAAAATGTATTTGTAAATACCTTCTAAGAAATATCACAAAAAATGTTCCCATTAACATAAAATGATGGAAATGAAAACAACATTCTTCCTTTATACTATTTAGTAAACAATTATGTAAAGAAACGTCATAATCGCATCATTCTTTAGTTCAAACTAATTCAACAAATTCAACAGCATATTGTCAAAGTTTTTACTTTTCATTTTTCATATTCTACACAGTTACGTAGCACTAAAACTTTCTACATAACCTAGTATTCCATTAAAACCAAGATTGTCGCCAATAAATTAAACAAGATCAACAAATGTTTTTAATTCATTCTCATCTGTTGTTATAGTAAAGCCTTTCGTTTCTAATTCTATCATTTCTTCAATGTATACAGAAAATGCATCCATATTTTATTATTCAATGCGATCAGAAAAATAATTGCACTAAACAAAATATTCTCAAGTTTTGAATTATTTAGTAGTTTTAATCACTTTAGAATCGTATGTATCACTTTAGAATTGTATGTTATCGTAATCATATTTAGAATGCTCAAATTTCGTGTAAACCCAAAAGGTTAGCAGGTTTCTAAATCATCAAAAAAAAAACAATAAAAAAAAAAAAATCGAATTACAAAAGTATTTAGGGAATAAGCGTATTGATGACGTAATTGATGGTTTTGCGATCTTTAATTCTCCACCTTTAACATCTGACACTTAACAATTAGTAGATAGTTAGATAGGAAGACAAAGAAAAAATTCAAGACATTGCTTCAATGAAATAATTTGCCCTGTTGCAATACAAGCTGAGCAAACTATTTTAAATGTTCTTTTTGAAGAAAAAACCAATACCTTCTTTTTTTCCCCCGTTAATCACAATTTTTATTCCTCTATTTTTAATATATTTTTCATATATGTTATTTTTTTTGTATTTTAATTTTATGTCAACTTTTATTTATTCATTTTTAAATTTATTATTTTAGTAAAAAAATTTATTTTTTATAAATATTTTTATTATTTTTATTTAATTATTATCTATTATATTTTATATTTTTATATATATATTTACAAAAACGATTATTTACATTAAATAATTCACCCTAACCCTATCCCTAACCCTATGTCTGACCTTGCTGCCCGGCCAAACGAAACCCACAGTCGATGTAGCAGCACTCCTTTGCGAGTCAGGCCAGAAAACTACCAGTTGATGTCGTATTCCTGGATTTTGCCAAAGCATTTGACAAAGTACCACATCAACGGTTGCTCTATAAACTAAAAATGTATGGAATCAAAGGAAATCTTCTTAATTGGATTAAAGCTTTCCTAACCAACAGATCTCAACGAGTTATCCTTGGTAACACTCAGTCGAATTGGTTACCAGTGACTAGTGGTGTTCCGCAAGGTTCAGACTTAGGTCCAGTTTTATTTGTCATTTACATCAATGACCTACCAGATGTCATAAGCAAAAAAAACATTTGTAAAATCTATGCTGATGACACTAAAATCCTCAGCGTTGTCAATACACTTGCAGCTCAGCTTCAACTCCAATCAGACATTGATGAAATTGTTCTTTGGAGCAAGTCTTGGTTCATGGAGGTAAACGTAAAAAAAATGCAAAGTCATGCACTTTAGTCAAAAAAATTCAATTCCCTTCGAGTACTCAATGGGAGAAACTGGCTCTAATTCGATAGTGACACGAACAAATTTGGAAAAAACCACCTCTGAACGTGACTTGGGAATCCAAATTACTAATGATCTTAAAGTGGAAAGCCAATCCATCATCGCATCATCGCTTGGTATTTTAAAACATACCTTCCAATGTCGTGATCCTTCTCTGTGGAAACAACAATACTCCACCTATGTCCGTCCTCTACTTGAATTTGCTATACCAGCTTGGAACCCTCATTTGGTGAAAGACGAGCAAGTTATTGAGAAAATACAACACAGAGCCACAAAGATACCGCACAAATTGAAAAATTTAAACTATCAGTCTAGATGTGAAAAACTTGGCCTCACATCTCTAATTGACCGCCGTAAACGAGGTGACCTCATTCAGAAATTTAAAATTGAGAAAAACATTGACATAATTAACTGGTATTTTCCTCCTATTACAATTCCGCCGAGAGCTAATCACAGAGAGAGATTTCACCGGGAAAAATATAACAACAATTTAACTCGTTTTAATTTATTTAATAACCGAATTGCCAACACATGGAACAGCTTGCCAGATAATGTAGTCTACTCTTCATCTGTCAACAGCTTTAAAGCGAGACTTTATAGGCTTCAAAGTTACAACAGCTCGCAATTCCCTTTGATGGAAGTTGCATTATGAGCTTCGCAAATGTTATCGATGATTTGACAATCTACATTTGTATTCTGTCAATTGTCTTTACATTTGTTGTAACAAATATATACTACTACTACTACTACTACTATACTACTACTATATATATATATATATATATAAATATATATATATATATATATATATATATATATATATATATATCTATATATATATATATA